TCGCCGGGGGAGCGAGGCGCGGGCTGCGGCTTTGTTGTACATTGTCTTCACGGCCTCTTTCCTTCTTCCTCGCTTCCCCTGCAGATAGTTCATTCAGAGCCCGCAGCCACCAGCGTGGCGTTTTGCACCAATATGAATCTTTTCAACTTGGACCGCTTTCGCTTTGAGAAAAGGAGTAAGGTGGAGGAAGCGCCCGAAGCGACCCCCCAGCCCGCCCAGCCCGGCCCTTCCTCGCCTATCACTCTTAGTGCGGAAGAAGAGAATGCTGACGGGGAAGTGAGCAGAGCAAATACCCCCGATTCAGACATAACTGAAAAAACAGGTGAGTTACAATGGTGCAGTTTGATGGAGCACCGGAAGTATGTTTTGAAGACGAAAGGCAGAAAGATGCTGGCTTTTATTCTTAGTGTCATACATAAGGATGCATTGTCCTCCAGTTTGCATTTGAAATACAGATTGCGGCCGCCTCATACGGCCTCCAAGTGAGCACCTGTCCGCTGTTGTCTGACATTTTTGTGAGTTGTGGGAATGTAGCCCAGTGATGGGAGTTAGGACAGAATTTAGGTCATCCCGGGGTCAGAATGGCTACCTGTAGAGAAGTGTAAGTGATAACTCCTGTAGTAGGCTTTGGAGCTGTTATTTGGCCACAGGTTTTCATTCATTCTCATTATCCTTCAAAAAAATATTGATCACCTACTGTGAACTAGATGTTGATCACGTGCCTGAAGACGGCGCCTGTGTGCAAGCAAAGACCAGATCACTTTCACATATTGCCTGCACTTGGCTTTATGGGTCTTTCCAGAATGCAAGCGAATAATTGATATTTTTCACAGTGAAGAACCCTTTTACCACATTAGCAGATTGCTATAGATTAAAGGCTGAGAATAAGTCTAGAATTAACATTTCCCTTCTAACCTATGTTTATTGGAAAGTTAAAAATTAGAAGCATTTTTGTTTGTGGTTCTTGGTTTATTGTCTTTTGAGACAGTATCTTACAGTGTAACCCATGCTGGCCTCGAACTCAAGATCGTCTTGCCTCAACCTCCAGAGTGCACAGGTGTGCACCGCCACAACCAGCTAGTATTTTTTAGTCACTATTTTTTTAGCTTAGTGCTGAGCACTTACATTTCAACAGTTTGCACCATAACTACTAGATGATACTGTTGTTCACATTTGCAGAAACCATATCCAGAGAGGTTGTTAGGGACTTGGTAGAGCCAGAATGCAAATCCAGGCTTTTCTTTTTTTTTTTTTTTTTTAAACAACAGGGTCTTGCTACGTAGTTCAGGCTGAGTTTGAACTCACAGTGTTAGCCCAAGCAGGCCTCGGACTCAGGTTGATTGTCCTGCCTCAGCCTCCCAAGGGCTGGGATTACAGGTGTGCAACACCACACCTGGCCATCAGGCATCCAATTCTTGAGCGTAATATAATCATTATGTTACACAATTTCTTATGAACGGTGAAAGAAATGTTAGAAGTATTAATGTTTATTTCAGTAATTCTTTGCGGGGAGTGCTAGTGGGATTGAACCCTTGCCCTTGGACTACATCCTAGCCCTCTTTTTACTTCTTATTTTGAGAGTCTTTTTTTTTTTTTTTTTATTGGGGATCTAACTCGGGTCCTTGCGTTTGCATGGCAGGCGGTGGAACCACTGAGCTAAATCCCCAGCCTAGACAGTCTTTCTAAATTGTCCAGGCTCGCCTAGAAATTTCCCTGCCTCAGCCTCCCAGGCATGAACCACCACTCCTGACTAGTAATGTATTTTTTGGATGCAAAACAGTGCAGACATTCCGATAACAAAGATTCAGGCTCAACCTGTGGCTTGGACTTAAGACTTTTGTGTGTGTGTGTGTGTGTGTGTGGTACTGTTTTTGTGAACCTCAGTGTCTTTTTTTGTACAGTACACTTTGTTATATGATACTGTAGTTTTGCTGATTGGATAGTACAGTAGTATAGTGTTCTGTTATATGTTATAGTACTGCATGTAAGAGTTATTCAAATAAAAGCAAAGTCTTCAAGTTGGAGTTTGCTTGGACCATTTCTTTGTTCTGAATATTGTAATGTACATACAGTACTATACACAATTCCTCATTTAGCGGCTGGTTCAGTTAACCACCTAGTTAGAGGACTCTGACTGGTTGTTGAATGAGGAATGTCTGTATAGACACACAGCGTTTAAACTTTTGTGGCCTAAAAGATGGGCGACATATTTCTTCACTCTTGATATCTTTGTTTGCTAGTCCTCTATAAAATGTAGTGATGGGACATTCCTTACAAATTTTTTTTTTAATGATTTGCTGTAAGAGGAACTCGGTGGAATAATTCACAGTCTGTGTTAAGAGGTAATTAAGTCAGATTTTCAAGGGCTCTATCTAAAGAGTTTTGAACCTGTCTAAATGCTATAGAAAATAATGGGTTTTTTCTTTTCTTTTTCCTTTCTTCCATCTTTTGGATTGATCCTAAGCTGAAGGGTTGTTTTGTTTGTTTGTTTGTTTGTTTTTTCTCCTGTTTTTTAAAGATTGCCTCTTGCTGTGTAGTTCTGGCTAGCCTTGAACTCACTATGTAAGTGCAGGCTGGCTTCAAACTCACAGCAATCCTCCTGCCTCGGCCTCCTGAGTGCTAGGATTACAGGTGTGCACTGCCATGCCAGACTTTAAAATAAAGGGATTTTTTTTTGTTTTGTTTTGTTGTTTTTTTTTGAGACAGAGTCTCACTGTGTAGTTCAGGCTGGCCTTGAACTTGCTGTGTAGCCCAGGTTGGCTTCCAATTTGTGGCAGAGTCCTCCTGCCTCAGCCTCCCAAGTGTTGGGATTACAAGCATGCCCCACCATTCCCGTAGGGTATTTAGCACAGAAGTGACATCTGTGTTCTTTCTTTATGTGGATATTTGATTTGCATAACACATGTAGTTATTGTCTAAACATCCAGGTACTATAGGATTTTCCCAGTGGACACTGTTATCTGTTTTTATGTAGCTTAACAGGACAGGAAAGGCTGGTGTTCAAGTAGGGAATATTGAGTCCTTTGAAGCCACTGCTTGTTCATTGTGGTTAATTGTGGGACATTGGACAAGGCATTTACAATGTGGGGTCCACAGTTTTTCTTGTTTCTGAATGGAGAAGCATTTATAAACTGGACTTGAGTGGAATGTTTTATTACGAGTATTTATAATGTGAAAATTCAGAATGTTATACTGTGTTCCTTCATTAAGCATACTCTTAAACTACTCAGTAAACATACTACTCTAAACATACTGTAAACAGTAAACTACTCTAAACATATCTAGTAAATGGGTTTCTTTTTATGTATAAGTTCTCAGAAACTATGATTGCTTTAGGAATAGTTATTAGTCTCAACATTGGGAAATATGAAAAGTTTGTTCTAGGAGTGGCGGGAATCTGTCTTATTGGTAGAAAGAATATTTGGCTTAGAAATGATTATCAAAAATGAGACACTTTTCTTTTTGGTTTTGTTTTTGTTTTTTTCTGACAAGATTATTATTGCCTGGTGTGGTGGTGCACACCTATAGTCCACAGCACTGGGGAGGCTGAGACAGGAGGATCCCGGGCTACATAGTTCAAGGCCAGGCTGAATTACATAGCAAGACCCTTTCTCAAAAAAACAAAACAAAACAAAAAATTACTATATAGTCCAGGTTAGCCTTGAACTTGCTATGGAGCCCAAGCTAGTGTCAACTCAATCTTCTTGCCTGAGCCTGCTGAGTGCTGAGCATACAAATATGTACTCATCTTGCCTGGTCTACCTCTGTGAATTGTGTGCACGAGATAGGCCAGTACCAGGGATTTAACCCAGGGCCTTGGCATTGAACTATATCCCCAACTTAAATTTTTGAGTCTTGAAAACCAAGACTGACTTTAGAACTTGTCATCTTCCTGCCTCAGCCTCCCAAGTGTTGGCATGACAGGTGTGTGCTGTTGTGCCCACTTACTCTTCTTGGCTTTTAAGTTTCAAAACAGTGGTGAGATAGACTATTCTTTTTCAAGAAAGGAAAGAGTAATAGCTTGATAAGAACTCCAGCAAAAAAAAAAATTTTAGGGGATGGAATATAATAGAGAAAAAACAGGAATGAGATATCTGAAAGAGAGGTATTATGAGTATGAGAACTAAAGCAGTTTGACTGTTTAGTTTTGTGAAGGAATCAAAATACATTTTACTTAGGAAGAGAAATTGAAAGAAAAATACACGGGTTCATTGGTCATTTTGAGGATCGGCATAGAGGAAAGTTTAGTGTATGTGCTTGAATTTTTTGGTGAAATAGATTCAGTTGTCTAAAGTGGTTGTTGAAAGTAAGTTACTAGTAAGTGAAAAAATGTATCTGTTATCCATAATCTTTCTTATATAGATGGTGTCATCTTGTATCAGTCATCAGCATTGTCATCTTGACTCCTCTTTGTCTGCTCTGCCTAAAAATTTATTGTGGTCTCTGCCAGTATATGGATATGATCCTTGAGATAGGAGCTCATTATGCCATCCAGGCTGCCCTGGGACTGGATGATCTCCTGCTACAACCTCTTGAGTGCAGGTACAGGCATGCACCACTATAGCATGTATCATTTAGCTTCACAGTTCTGTAATCACTGGACAGTACTCCAGTCCTTTTTACGTATGGGCGGCTAAAATGTGAAAAATGATCAATATCTACAGGTGAACGTTGTTTCTTTAGTTTGCTTAGTTGAAAAGTAATACTTGGTAAAGGGGTTAATGCTGGATTGTTCTAATAGAAGGTACATAAATACTCACTAAAATTATATTTTTGTTTTTGTTTTTGCATTGTTGGGGAGTGAACCTAGGGTTTCATGCATGTTAGGCAAATGTTCTACCACTGAGCTGTACCCTGCAAGCCCTTAAGTGTATTTTAAATGTACTTTGTTTATATTTTCCTTTTTTGCCTTTTAATTTTCATTATTAGCTATTGTTTTCTTCATAACAAAGCATTGTTTTTTTTTTCTCTTAAATTTTTTATTGGTATATTTTAGGTATAAAATAGTTACATTCATCACTGGAACTTGTACCTTCACATAGTATTTCTTGGTTCTTATTTTTTTTCCCCATTCTCTTATCCCCCCTTTAACCCTTCCACCCCTCCCTATTTGAAAAAGTTTTGTTTCCATTTATTTCTTACCTAATTTTTCCTTTCCCCTACTACAAAACATTGTTTTTAAAAAATGATGTAGCATTATATAATGCATCATCTTTTGTGATCCTGGTTTGGTTTTTTTCTTTATTCTTTCAGATTTTTTTGTCTGTGTATATGGCCCTGGTTTTTATTTAGATTTTTTCAAAAAACCAGATGGCATTGTAC